AGCTGCTGAGCATCAGAAACACAGTGGGATGCTCAGCCCCAGATCCACCTGTAAAGCACCAGAGAAAGGACTGGCATCAAGAACGTGGGCACCCTGGCATGCTCCATAGTGCAGGCAGCAAGAAAGCAAATGGAAAACAGCACGTGATGAGCAGGAGGGCCAGGAGCGGGGCTCTAAGCAGGAGTCTGGGTCCAGGCCAGCAGACCCACGAGGCACCGAGGCACCGGCAGTGATGGGCGCAGTGCAAGGCAGCGAGGGGAGCCCGCACCGAGCCCTGCCCCGCTGCTGTGGCACCGGGACCGGCAGAAGCGGAGGCTCGAGGGTGCCTGCCCTCGCCGGTACGGGCTGCAGCCCGGGGAGGTGCCCCGCGGGTCCCACACAGCAGCCGGGCAGGGTCAGGGCCGGGGAGGGCTGCCCACGGAGGGAAACTGGACGGAAGAGGGTCCGAGTGCCTCCGGGAGCCCCTTGGCCCGGGGCGGGGCAGGGGCCGTACCTGCAGCTCGCACCAGGCCACCTCCACGGTGGTCTCCGTGTCCAGCCCCTTGTAGACGGTCTTGAAGGAGCCGCGGCCGATCTCGATGTCGAACTTGAGGAACCGGCCGTCGGGGGAGGTGGCGACCGCCCGCGTCTCTACCTCCTCGCTCTCCGTCTCCTCGGGCTCCCGGAGCCCGGCGGCGGCCGGCGGCGGCGGCGGCGACACCCCGCGCTCCCCGTCCGGCGCCGGGTACCCCAGCAGCTCCAGCTCGGCCGAGCTCCGCCGGTTGAAGCGGGAGGAAGCACGTCGGGAATCGCGCCCCGAGGGCCGCCGGCTGCGGTTACGGTGCGGGGCCCGTCCGGTGAGCCCTGGAGCGGGCTCCGGCTCCGGCTGCGGCGCGGAGCCGCTGTCCGCCCGCTCCGCCTCGGGATGGGACATGGCTCCGGCAGCGGCGGGCTCGGCCGCCAGCATCGGCTCGAGCGGTGGGAGCGGCCGCTCCCGCGCAGCTTCGCACCCGTTGTCTCCGCCACCCCGCAACCGGGAGCGACCGCCGAGACCCGGTCCGGGCGCCGGTCCCGGCACCGGCACCGCCCCGCCCGGCGGCACCGCCCCCGCCCCGCCGGGCAGGGGTACAGCACCGGCACCGCACCGGGCAGGGGCACCGCACCGGGCAGGGGTACAGCACCGGCACCGCACCGGGCAGGGGCACCGCACCGGGCAGGGGTACAGCACCGGCACCGCACCGGGCAGGGGCACCGCACCGGGCAGGGGTACAGCACCGGCACCGCACCGGGCAGGGGCACCGCACCGGGCAGGGGTACAGCACCGGCACCGCACCGGGCAGGGGCACCGCACCGGGCAGGGGTACAGCACCGGCACCGCACCGGGCAGGGGCACCGCACCGGGCAGGGGTACAGCACCGGCACCGCACCGGGCAGGGGCACCGCACCGGGCAGGGGTACAGCACCGGCACCGCACCGGGCAGGGGCACCGCACCGGGCAGGGGTACAGCACCGGCACCGCACCGGGCAGGGGCACCGCACCGGGCAGGGGTACAGCACCGGCACCGCACCGGGCAGGGGCACCGCACCGGGCAGGGGTACAGCACCGGCACCGCACCGGGCAGGGGCACCGCACCGGGCAGGGGTACAGCACCGGCACCGCACCGGGCAGGGGCACCGCACCGGGCAGGGGTACAGCACCGGCACCGCACCGGGCAGGGGCACCGCACCGGGCAGGGGTACAGCACCGGCACCGCACCGGGCAGGGGCACCGCACCGGGCAGGGGTACAGCACCGGCACCGCACCGGGCAGGGGCACCGCACCGGGCAGGGGTACAGCACCGGCACCGCACCGGGCAGGGGCACCGCACCGATGGCACACCGGGCAGGGGCACAGCACCGACACCGCACCGGGCAGGGGCAGCACACCGGGCAGGGGTACAGCACCGGGCAGGGGCATCGCACCGATGGCACACCGGGCACGGGCACCGCACCGACAGCACACCGGGCAGAGGCCCCTGGACGGCGCCCAGCGCTGCAGCTCTAGACACGGGCTGCCAGCAGCGGGCGAGCGCCCCGGCACCGCTGCCGACCAGCCCGGGGTGCTGGGATGTCCCCTCCCAGCCGGGGGACACCGCCCGGCGCCCACCCGGACCCAGGGGCTCCTGCTGTCCCCTCCCCGCAGGACAGCCCCTTCCCTGCCGCCGCCCCGTGGGGCTCCGGGGCTGCTGTGAGTAACGCAGCCGGAGAGCGACGCAGGAACGTCCCTGGTTTAAACATTTCCTCGCAGTTTCTGCCTCTGGTCCCGGAGCAGCGTGTCCTGGAGCAGCCGGGTCTCGCTGCCGGGACGCGAGTTCCCCCTCACGCTGCCCCAGAGAACCCCGCTCGGGGTCACTACGGTCCGAAATCCTGAAATTAGGGTCACGCAAATAGGAAGAGTCGAAGGTGTGTGTCAGCCCCGCGGGAGCCAACAGCCGGACAAGAGCGTGTTGTCTCTCCAGGCTGAAGGAGAAGGTTGTTCTGCCGGTGAGGCTGTTTACACAAAACACAAAGCAATTGAGGCCACCGCTGATTTCTTTTCCCTGAGGTCAGATTGTTTCTACTCAACGATACCGGAAACATTAAGGGGTGGATCGACAAGGGAAGGCAGTCATGGTCTCCCAAACGCCAGCCTGGCACCCGCAGGGTGATGCCGGGTGACTGGAGCTGCTGACCCGCAGCACGGCTGCGGCCACGTCCCGCACGGCTGCTCCCCACAAACCCCCGCTGGCAAGAGGGAGGGACAAGTGTTCAATGAAATGTTCCTGGCCGACCTGTGTCTCTCTGCTGATCTCTGCTCTGCTACCCCCAGCCGACGCACCTCTTCCTGCCCGAGGAGCCGGGTACCTCCTTCCCACCCAGGGGTTTGACCGATGCCTCCCTGCCAAGAGCTGCTCGAGCAGAACTGGCTGGTGAGCAGCAACCACATCCCCACTCAGCCCTGCACCCCTCGGAGCACGTGAGGGGCTTGGTCCCAGGTGAACAAGCAGCACTGGCAGAACACCACGTCCAGCACCAGCCCCTGCAGGGCTCTGCCTGCTGCTGGGGTGCCCGTGGCCACTGAGCCAAAAGGCCAGGACTGACAGGCCACAGGTGCAGTGCTTGCACTGGCCCTGCCATGGGTCACTCTTGGGTTGTAGGATGCAACGTGGTTTGACTCAGCTCTGTTAAACAATGCTCTTTGTTCAGGTGAGCCTTATCAGAACGGTCTCAGCATGGCCAGAAAAGGGGGCATGCTGCCCGAGGCCCTCTAGGTTGACTCTGTGGCTGCCCCCACACGGGGGTCCCTGCCAGGGCCCACGCACTGCCCAGGCCCAGGAACACAGCCCAGGCTGGCAGGGAGCCCCAGCTCTCCAACCAGAGACACAGAGCCACGTAGGGATCTCAGTTTGGTCCCTGGCAGGCTCATGTCTCCTTATCAAGGGTTTCCATCGTGAAACAAGATGCCTTGGAAGATCCCAGAGGAGCAGGGGAGTATTCCAGTCCAATGAGGCCCCTGCAGACAGGAGAGGAAATTAGGGATGAAGTTTGCTCCAGCTGCTGCCCTCCCACACCTCCCTTGTGAGTGGCCTGAGAAATTCCCTAAATGATCTTCCAAATGCCACTCCACACCAGAACTTGGTAGGGAGGTGGCAGTTCAGGAACAGGTCCTCTCCTGAGCTGGCCAGGAACACCAATCTGCAGCCAGCTTGGCCTGAAACCAGGAGGCTCGTGTTCCACAATCAGGCGCCCACTGCAGCTCCCCAGCGTTATCAGGGTGACATTTCTGGGCTGCAGGTGCCAGTGCCAGGCTTCACTTTGAGGAACCGCCACAATCAGGGAACATAACCCATTTCTCGCCTACATTTGGCTGCCAGAAAGAGTACAAGGAACTGTGTAATCGCTCTCCTCAAAATTAGATCGTGAATCAAAGCCCTGCTCAGCTCCAGGCTCCACCAAGCCCTGCCAGGAACTGTCTGCTCTGATTCCAGAGCTTGGGGCAGGACCACAGAGGGGCCAGGATGGGTGTGGATGAGGGGGACGCTCAGCTGGGGCTGCAGAGCACAGGGTGCTGTCCCAGGAGGGCCCCAGGGACACCCAGGGCTGTTTCACTGCTGGCTTCACCATCCCATTCCCATGGGATCTTCTGTGTCTCTCACCCTAACTCCCGTGAGTGCAGGGAGGAGGAGATGGCTCCCAAACCTCAGCTGTGGCTGTAGCCCTGGGCAGATCACTGCAGAGGATTTCCTCAGCCCAGAGGCACAGATGGGACCCGCCTGCACATTTATCCCAACATAAAAAGTTATCAAACTGAAACAGTTCTTGCTCCTAAGAAGCTGCATTAAAGAAAAGCTTTCTCGGAATCTTTCCTCCCTCACCAGCGGGATCCGAGTGTGCCCAGCCTGATAGTGCCTTATCTTGGCACCAGCCCCTCTGAGCTCTGCCTCACCCTGGCCAGCGAGCCCTAATCACCATGGCCAGATGTGGCCAGGGCCTCTGAGGGGCCACAGGCTGGAGGAGGGGGTTGTACCAGCCACCCCCACCTCCCCAAAACCACCCTGAGCCACCTCCTGCAGCGAGCCCCTCCCCAGGGCTGTGTGGCTGGGCCGGACAGCACCTCCACAGAGGGACATCTGCTCCCTCCAGGGTGGCAGCACCAGCTCTGCCACTCCCAGGACACATCCCACGGCCTCAGCAGTGGCACCTCAGCCCCAGCAGTGGCACCTCTGTGCAGCAGCACTGTCCAGCCCAGGGAAGCAGGTCCCAGAGGGTCCTCACAGGCACTGCTGGATGTGGCCTCTGGTAACCAGCCCAGAGGGTGTGGAAAAGGAATTTTACAAAATGTCCACTCTGCAGAGGGGACATACTCTTCCTCCTCCCCTTCCCCCCCCTCACTGAGTAAGCAACTAAATGGGAAGCTGAAAAAGAGATGGGAATTGCTGCCAGGAGTGGCTTGGAATGAAAAGCTGGTTTTAGGCTTATCTAATGTCACATCAGCCATTTCCTAAGAAGGGAGCAAATTTAATTAAGAACACAGACTCCCTCAAGGACAGCCAGGTTACACACAGCACTCCCAGCCTGGAACACAGTGCTGGGAGGTCGGGATTGTGCACACAGGCAGAGAACAGACACTCCAGCCTGGCTGCTGAAGGGATCAAATTGTTTGGGGTCAAATACAGACAACTTCAGGCACAGAACCCTGCTCTCTGCAGGGCTACAAGAGCAGCAGGGCAGACAGAGCAACCACAGAGGGAAGGGCAATGCAGGTGGCATGAGAAGGAAAGCAGAGGCAGATCTTGGACATGGAACAAACCCAGGGCAGACTGGGAGCACAAGAATCCTACACAGAGACTTTGGTGGCTGCAGATATAGAGGGATGATCCCTGAGCAAGCAGAGGCTGTCCAGCTGTGGGGACAGCTGCACTGCAGGGCTCATGGCACAGGCCATGGCACAGCCTGTGCTGCTGGGTTTGCTCAGCACCATCAGTGGCAGGACCATGACAGAGCCCCTGGGGGTGATGGTCCTCAGAAAGGACCCACACCAGCCCAGTGTCAGTGACTCTGGAGCACTGCTGGTGCCTTTGTTCAGCACAGAAGTGCTGGCACTCAGGAATTCCTCCACAGCACTGCTGAGCCTGGCACAGAGAGGAAGCCTGGGCTCCAGCCACAGTTCCAGAGCAATGTGCCCACACCAGGGCAGCACGTCCCAGCAAGTCCAGCTCAGTGGGCTCCTGTAAAGGACAAATTTTCATATTTCACAGCCCCCAGACTCCAGCATCTCACCTACACTGAGAACTCCTCAATGCTGACATCAGCTGTCAGGAGCAGGTCAGCCAGTGCCAGGTTGTCCCCAAGGGCAGGGAAGGCCAGACAGGGGCAGCCTGTGAGGTGCAAGTGCCATCTGCTCTGCTGGGCCCCAGACTGACCTGAGGTCACACCAGCACTGTCCCCAACCTCTGCCAGTGACATGCACACACCCACCAGGGAAAGGTGGCCCTGCCCCAGCACAGCCATCTGCTTCCCCAGGGCTCACAGGGTCAGCAACTGCACCTGGGCCACAATTTCTGACAAGCTGAGGACTTTGTTATCACCTAAAGCTGAGTCATCCCTCTCCCAGCCACAGTGGTACAGAGCTTACCCCATCACCTCTGCACAAACCCAGGGGCTTCCAGCAGGCTGCACATGCAAATTTAAAGTAAATGTTGTCCTGAGAAAGGCAGCAAGGATCCCCTTCTCCTTTCTTCTTGTGCTGTTTCCCACCCTGGAACCACTGCATTTCCCTGGGGCAGACAGGAAATAAGACTGAAGGGCAAAAATCTGGTACACTGCTCTGTTTTGTCTCTGATGGAAAAATAAAGATAGATGAAAACAGCCAGGCTGCTCTATAAATACATCTCATTTTAATCACCTGAAATTAGTTCCCTGGCTTCCCCCAGCCTGCTTGGCAGCAAGTGCATTTCCTTCTGCCACTGAGGGCTCCACAGCCAACCCCTGCTCCTGCCTCAGCCCCTGGCACTGCAGCAGGACTGCAGGACCCAGGCACGTGGCTGGCAGGGACACAGGGGGACCCTGTGAGGCCAGGCTTGACCAGCCAGCTGGGGCTGCTTCGAGGCCATCACAGGCACAGGGACCAGCAGCAGTCCAGTTTCACTTCTGGGTGGTCCCTCTCAGAACTGCCTAGAGCAGCTTCAGCCTCCTGAACACATCAACAGGGAGAACAGACAGACAGAGGAGCTCAGGATATTCCTAAGTCTTTGGAAGGGTTCTCAGACTCATCTTGCCCCAAGAAATCCCAAGATGCAGCTACTTGCAGTCACAGTCTGAGGCCAGGCCCAGAGAGGAACGCTTGGCAGGGAGAGCCCAGCCTGCAGCAGGGAAGGGGAGGAGGCTCCAGTCAGAAGAACTTGACGCCTCGGCCGTCATCCAGCGTGATAATCTCAGCCTTGTGCTCCTGCTGCAAGGCCTGCAGGGCACGGAGCAGCGTGTCCTCGTCCAAGCCATGAAACTCTAGGGAAGGACAAAGATCAACAGGAAGAAAAAAATAACATCAGGAAACAAAGAGGTTTGTGAGGTGCAGGGGCTGGGGGCAGCGATGCTGAGGGCTCTCAGAGCACCACAACACTACAGCAAATCCAGAGTGATGGAAACACTGAGAGGATCTCATCTCTGCTTGGGGAACAGGGCCTAGAGGTCAGCAGACAGCAGGGATGAGTCACAGCAGCCTGCAAGGCAGAGCTGGGGTTTGGCTTGGAAATAAAACATTCCCCACCACACCAGATAAAATGCTAGGCACTGGGGAAGGGGAAATGCAATTACAGAGGGGGATGCTCCTGCAAAGTGATAAAAGCCTTTGCAGCAGCCTGTGCCAATGGTGGGAAAGGGTGAGTTCACACCTGACATTTAAAAATATTTAATCTACAAGACTGCAATCTGACAATCAGCTGTTGACATGCTCCAATTCAGCGTGCTCTGAAAACCTGCTGCAGAACACGAGCCCCAACTTTACCTTCATTCTCTGTGTCATCTCCACTGACCAGTTCATACAGCGTGAACACAGAGTTGGTCAGGCCATTCTTGGACACCTGGAAACACAAAGGCAATACAGCAAATTTAATCCATGTGGCTGCACATCCTTGTCCAAATCTCTCACACGTCCTGGAGAGTGTAAAACTGAGTGTGCACAGCACTTGAAGTGAACCCTGGGGCAGAGGGGTCAGGAGGTGCAGCCGGGGGGAACGAGGACAGGGCTGCTCCTCCTGCCTGTGTGTTTCACAGCGAGGAGCTGGGCCAGGCAGTGGTGCTGCCCTGTCCTCACACGGGGGGACAACACCACCCTCACACTGCAGCTCACAGCTGACAGGCTGCTAATAACTGCTCACCTCTCTGCAACAGAGAGAAGTGCAAGGAGAAAGGTAAAAGCAGCGAGGAAGCAAGTAGTGGTCTTTCCTAAATAGCAGCCCCATCCTCAGGGACCCAGCCTGGTCTGGGTGTGCAGCCCCCGTGCTCTCACCCATTGATAGATGAGCTTTCCCCATTCTTCGGGTCTCTTCCACATGATCAGAAAGCTGGTTTTGTTCTTATCTAACCATTCCAGGTTCCCTAGAAGCAGTAAGGAACAGGGATTGAAGCAGGGCAGTCAGAAATAAGGATCAAACACTCAGGTTTCAGGACGTGTGCCAGACAGTGCACCCCGAGCAGCCCCCAGCCCAGCCCAGCCCTGCACACTGAATACTGCGGTGTCTGCAGGAAGCGATTTCTCTGCCGAGCCCTCCCGTCCCCGCACAGCTAAACCCGCCTGCCACGGAGAGTCCGGCCCGGGCGGGGCACAGCCCAGACCCGCGGGACGGAGCTGCCCGGTGCCTGAGCCGGTGCTCTTGCGGGTCGGGCACCGGCGGCGGCCGGAGCACGGACGGACGGGCGGACAGACGGACGGACGAGGCACGCACCGTTCTTGCGGAGCTCCTCCAACACCACCTGGATGGATTCCAGCGGCAGCTTCCCTGGGCGCGGGTTAAGGAGGCGTCGGCGGAGGCGGGGGTAGGGGCGAGGGGGGCACGGGCACCGGGCACCGGGCACGGGCACGGGCACAAAGGATACGCTGCAGGCGGTGGTTGGCGAAGAGCGGGATGTCCTGAGCCTCCCGCACCGTCATGGCGGGCAGCCGGTGCTCCTGGCTGTAGGCCAGCGCCAGCGCGCACCAGGCCGACAGCTGCTTCTGCCGCGTCTCGCCGTTGGGCTGCAGCCTGCGGGGCCCGGTCAGCACGGGGGCGGACGGGCACCGGCACCCCCGGTTCCCGCGCTCCCCTCCTCTCCCCGTTCCCCCAGTCCCAGCCCAGCCCCGGCCGTGCTCACGTGAAGAAGGGAGGGAAGCTGTACTGCCAGGGCCACACGAAGCTCATCGCCGCCGCCGTTACCGGAACCGCCGCCGCCGCTGCTTTCCGCCCCGCCCCACTTCCGGCCCGGCAGCGGGCCACGCCCACCCAGCGGGGCCACGCCCCGATGAGAACCCGCCCTTCCTTCGTGTGACCACGCCCCCTTGTAGCCCCGCCCATCCCGGACGGCGGCCCCGGTTCTGGTGCCGGTTCTGGTGCCGCAGCGTTCCCCACGGCAAGAAGCTGCCCGCAGACCCGCGCCAGGAGGGCGCTGGCGGTGGGAGCTGGCCCGGCCCGGGCCGTGGAGGGATCGAGCGGCCGAAGAACCAGCGCCAGGCGTGGGGGGAGAAGCGTTTAATCCCGGGCCGCGGGGTGGGGAAGGCGCGGGAGGAACCGGCCGCCTCCGCTGCGCGGGGTGGTGGCCCCGAGAGCCCACCGGGCGGTCGGGCGGCCCCGCAGCCGGGGCTCGGTGCCCCGACGCGGGCAGGGAGGGCGGCTCTAAGCCTGCGCCTTGCCGTCCTTGCTGCGCCAGATGACCAGGGTGACGAGGAAGGGGATGAGGCAGATGGGTGCGATGATCATGGCCAGGAGCACATCTTCGGGCGGGTCGAAGTACACCGGGTGCTCCAGGGTGCAGTTGTGGAAGTAGCGGTGGTGGCTCTGGAAGATGTACTGCTCCGCCAGGGCGTTGGGGTAGCTGTGGTTGAGGCGCTCTGCCCACTCCTCCAGGCAGCGCTGCAGCTCGCTGTAGGGCCTGGAGGAGAGCCGGGACACCGGCAGGGGTTGGGACACCGGGGACACACACCCCGCACCAGCGGGACTCTGGTGAGTGCCCAGCCCCTGCCCCTGCTGCTGGAGGGGAAGGTCCTGCTGGCCCCTACCTGCTGATGACTTTCCACTCGCACAGCTCCGATGTCATCACATTCCTCATCAGGTAGACGAAGTAATCCCAGCAGTGCTGTGTGATGGCGGTGTAATTCCCCTCTGTGAGGAAAGGTGCTGAGCTCGGGCAGCATGCCTCTGCCCACAGTGCATCATCCCTGCCTGCCCCTGCTGCCAGGTGACACCTGGCATCTGGAGCACTGCCCAGGCTGGTGGCAGAGACACCAGCACAGTGAGGGATGGACCCTACAGCAGCCCTGGGATGCTGCCTGGAGCCTGCAGCAGCCCAGGGCAATGCCAGGGGCACAGAGGGAGGGCAGGCTGCTGCTGACTGCCCCCACTGTGGGCAATGGCAGCAACAGCTTCATGGCACAGGCCAGCTGGTTTTGGGATGGCTTGGGGAAAGAAGGGGTCATTCTGTGTACCATTGCCAGCCCTGGCCAGGGTACCATTTGTCCTGTAGTGCTGCCTGGCCCTCACTGAGCCCCAACACTCACCCATGGACTGGGTTGTCCAGTTGGATGTGGCCGTGGGTGGGCTTGTCCCAGTGTCCTGGCTGAAGCTCGTTGTCACGGCGTCTGTGTGACAAAGGCCAGTCCCCAGGAGCACTGCAGAGGGAGGGACACAGGGTGAGAGGGGACACAGGGTCTGAGGGGAGGATAAGGGTGCTGACAGGGCTCAATGCACAGGGGCTGCCCTGGCAGAGGCTGGGTTTACAGGAAGTAATTGATTTTGGGTGTCCCTCAGGGACACTGGAACCGGCAGGTGGGGCACAGGGAGCCAGAGCCTGGCACATGCTGGGGCTAGGGCATCCAGCCCTGGCATGGGCAGGGGCTGTGGGGAGGGGCTAGCCAGGCTGCAGGCAGCTATCCAAATGTCTGGAGGGGCTGTTTAGGGGCTACGAACCATGGGGAATTGTCACAGCATGGGGGCAAATGGAACCCCCACCCATGGGGAGCCAGCGTGGTGCTGCGTGTCAGCCGGACAGGGCTGGGGCAGGAAGAGGAAGCGCTGGCCACAGCACAGAGCTGCTGGAGAGCCCCTCCGCCTGCCATCAGTTCCACACCCAGCACAGCCTGCCAAGGGCGTGGGGCACGTCTCGCCTGGCCCACGGGAGCCCCATGGCTGGAGGAGACTGCCCGATCCATCTTCCACCTTCGGCTGTGGGGCACTGATGCTGGCTCCACGCTGAACTGCCGGACTGAGCTCTCCTTGGGCTGCTTGTGGGGAGCTCTGGCACAGCTGGGCACACGGGGCGCTCCTGGGCAAGCACACTGGCTGTGCTAAGGGCAGCCCACCCTGTCCCGATCTCTGTCCCTGATGGCCCCATGCAGCCCCCCTGCCTGGGCATGTGTGGTGCTACAGCTCCTCTCCCAGCCCGGGTCTTTGCAGGGCTCCCTGCCAGATGGTGGCTGAGCGTGGTGGGAGCTCCCCACAGCGCCTGGTGCTCACCTGCAGTGCCCCCCGGCCATGTCTGCCCCAGCTAACCTCAGCGTTGACAGGCTGGTCCCATTTTGGGGTGGGGCGATGGGGGCGGGCTGAGCCAAGACCGTGGCCCCAGGCCCCACGAGTGGGAGGGCGGCCACGTGCGGGGTGGTTCGGGGTGCGGAGCCCCCGGGGCCGCGCCCCGCGCACTTACCGCAGAGCAGCAGGAGCCCTCGGGAGAGACGGCCGGAGCTCATGTGCGCGCACGGTGCCATCCTGCCAAAGCCTGCCGGCTAACGACCGGGACAAGGATTTCAATGGAAATAACAGGAAGCAACTCCTTTCCTCTGACAGGGGCAGTTTGACTACAGGAGACGTGTGAAAAATGAGATTGCTCAGTGCTGCTCTGAAGCGGCTCTCCCGGCGGGACCCTGCGCTGTCCCGTGCGGTGCCGGCCCCCGCGGGCATCGCTCCCGCACCCCGGCACCCACGACGCCCGCGCCTCACCCACCGGCCTGGAGGATCCACTCCCTGAACAGCACGTCCAGCGTTACGAGGCCGCGATTTGTTTACTTGTGTATTTCTCTTTAATCCTGTCTGGGCTGGGTTGTGAAATCCCTCGTCTCCTGCGTGGAGGGCAGGCAGCCCAGCAGCGGGGGGAGTGGACGGGAAAGCACAATGTCCCCGGACGGGTGCTGCCGCCCGGGAATGGGGGCGGCAGGGGGACCCACGGCCCCAAAACCGCAGTTTCTGGTTCACCCGGGCACCTGCCCCACAGGCGGCACTGCCGGGGCAGCCCCAGCTCCTGCCCGTGGCCAAGGAGGGAAGGGTGGTGACACAATCTACCCCAGGCACGAGGCCGAGGAGGTGGGGAGAGGGCAGACACTTGGCCGACCCTGGCAGTCCTTGGCCCCAGTGCCTTCCTCCTGCGCTGCCCAGCCTGGCGCCCGCTTGACTCTGCCGGAGCCCCCCTTCCTGGAGCAGTTCCCGCCCAGGGGCCCATGTCCCCCCCACTGGGGGTGGCATTCCTGCAAAGGACCTTTCACGCCTGGCCGGGGCAGAGCGCAGCCCAAAGCCTCCCCTTTAGCCGCCTGCAGGCACGCAGAGCAGGGACCGGAGTGCAATGCAGGACAGCTCGGAGGGACCGGACCCTCCCTGCTGCGGATCGCACTGGGCTTCAGCTCCCCAGCAAAGGTCCTGGCAGAGCTGTCTGATGCTTCCCAGGCTGCAGCAGCCACCTTCTGCGGGCGAGTGGCCACATCTGGAAGTCATCCCCGGCACTCCAGTGGCGGCAGGGCTGGAGCCACTGGTCCCTGTTTGTGGTGGAGCCGGCGGAGCCTCCAGCCGGGTGGCAGGAGCCTCTGCCAGGGAGACACCCAATGATCTCAGCGCGGCCCCAGGGCTGGGACTGCCGCCCCCCTCCTGGGGCGTCCGGAGGGGATGGGCAGGGACAGGACGGTGGCTGCCTGCCAAGGGCTTGGGCTCCCCACCCAGCCTGGCATCCCCGGCGTTCCCTGCCAGCCCCAACCTGGGGTGCTGAGGAAGGAGATCAACCCGTGCAGGCTCGGTTGCCTGTGAATCTTCTCCCAGAGATCCCCCAGGCAGATGCAGCATCTGGAGCCCGGTGCCCAGCCTCCCCTCGTGCCATGGGACCCACTCCATGCCCAGGGAATCCCAAGCTCCCTATCCCTGCTCTGACCTGTCACCCTCACCCTCAGTCCTCTCCTAACACTCATTAGCTGCCAGGACTGGGAGGGAAGGAGGCTGTCGCTGGCCACTCAAAGACCTGGGGGCACGGAGGAGATGGGCAGCTCCTCCCTGGGGTTTGAACCCCTTTCTGGGCTCTGCTGAGTGTGAGGGCAGCTGCAAGGGGCACGAGGCAGCCAAGCCCCTTGGCCACAGCCACACTGGGGGCCAACTGCCCAGCTTGGGGAGCCTGGTCCCTGTGCAGCTGGTGAAGTATTCAGGGTGGACCTGCAGAAAGAAGGTGTCAATGCCCCAGGCCAGGGCAGGAGAGCAGCTGACCAGCAGCTGGGTGCCACTGGAGAGCTTGCTGTAGGTGCTGCGGAGGGGACAGCATGAGGCCAGCCTGCAGGGCTGGGGACACACCCCTGTGATGGCACTGCTCCAAGTGTGCAGTGGCACTGCTGGGGTGATGCTGACCCATCTGCTGATCTCATCCCAGTAGCAGCAACCTAACTTGGGGATGACCATGAGGGTGGCATGGAAGGGGGCCCAGTAGTAGAGGGAGATCCAGCCCTGGGAGGTGTCCTGGCAGTGGGCTGGCACCACCAGCACCTCCGGAGGTCCAGCAGTGCACCAGACAGACCCTGGGATGTCGCCCCACTGCCAGCACTCCCTCCCAACTTTGGTTTCAGGAGGGCTGTTTGGGGTCACCCCTGGACTCTGCCCAGGATGAGGCAGGCACTCTGTTGTGCGGTTCAACACACAGCCCTAGGGGTCCCACATTAGGGGTGCCTGTGGCTGTGGGGGCCCCATGGGATCAGCCAAGCCAGGAGTGAGCCTGTGAGGCTCCTGCAAGCCCAGCGGATTGCACAGGTCTCACCCAGGTGAATGGGGAGGACAGCCAGGATGGCAAGAGGGCAGCTCTACTCACCATCCTCATCCAGTAGTCACCCAGAAGGACAGACTGTGTCATGGGTGGTGGTGGGACCTGTGGGACCATGTGAGGTCCAAGGGGTGCTGGACATTGCCCTGCCAGTAGTAGAGTCCCCTGCCATAGGACTGCTGCAGAAGCTGGAGCCACATGGGATATGGCACCTTCATCCTTGAGATCCCCATGCTCAGCGTTCCCATGGCTTGCAGCAAGGAGACACAGGATGCCAGGGCTGCACAGCCAGGAGCAGCCCCAGCGCCCAGCTGCTGATCTCAGTACATCAGAGACCCCTCCTCCTGCTCCCAGGCTGAGCTGAGCACAGCAGAGGTGAAGGGGCTAAGGAAGCAGAGGGCTCCCGGCTCTGCCTTGGCCCTTGCAACCTGGAAGAGAAACCAGCCAACACCAGCCCTGGAGGCAGACAAGTGTGTGGCAAACCCTGCCCAGAGATCCTCCAAAAGAAGGCCAGGAAGGGCCAGGCGAGCTGTACAGCTGCACTGGGCCAGAGGAGAGAAATAGGCCAGGGCTCTGTGGGGACTCACTGTGTGCCAGACCCCGTGCCCAGCCTGGGGCTGTCTCCGTGCAGCACCCGCGGGAGCAGAGACAGGAGCGGGCAGCAGAGCAGCCCTAGCCCGGGGAGCATCCTCATCCTCCCGACAGCGGGATCCCAGCAGCCGGGCTGGGGCTCCCCCGGGCATCTATCCCGGACCTCGGCCCGTCCCAGCACTGTCCGCCGCTCCCGAGCCAATGCCCGGCAGGGTCGGGGGACGCCGGGCCCCCGTCCCACCGGACTCGGGGCTGCGGGCCGGCCCTGCTCGACCCCCGCAGTCACCCTGCCGGAGCCGCGGGGATAGGGTGCCCCGGGGCAGCCGGCACTCCGCGCCGCTGACGGGGCCCCCGCCGGGGCAGAGCCAGCTCCGTCCGCTCCCAGCGCCGGGCCCCCGGGGCAGGAAAGCAGCCGCCAGCAGCCGCTTCCTGCCCGGCGCCGCCACTGGGAGGCCCGGCGGTGGGGCCAGAGGGACCCGGGACCACCGGGACGGCTCGTCGGGGAGCGTGGCCATGCCGGGCAGGGCTGGCCCGGGGCCCGGAGGGCGGTGGAACCGGGCGGGAACGGCGCTGTCCCACCAAGCGCTTCCCGCGGAACCCCCAATAGGGGCCGGGGCCGGGAGAGCCCAGGCACACCGGGAATGGGCGGGCACGGCACCGAGCCGCCGAATTTAACCCGCTCCCCGCAGCCGACAGGGGTGTCCTCCAGGCTGGAACGGGTCCGCTCTGCCGGAGCAGCCCATGAGCCCCGGCCGCACCGGCACCGGCGGCGGCGACGCGGGGCGGGCCTGGGGTGTGAGGGACGGGGCGGAGCCTGGGGATGTGAGGGGCGGGGCGTGAGTATGTGAGGGGCGGGGCCGGGGGTTGTGAGGAGCGGGCCGGGGCGGGCCGGCGCGCGCGCAGTGTGGTGGGGGCGCGCGGCCTCCCCCTGTCGCGATGGCCGAGCAGTGAGTGCGGGAGGGGCCGGGGGGTCCCGGTGCTTCCCGGGGGGTAGCGGGTTCCCGTGGTACCAGCCGGGCCCTGGGGACAGGCAGTTGCGGGGCTCGGGCCCGCTCCCCCGGCCCGGCGGCGCCGCCGGCCTCGGCTCGCTCCGGTTCTTGTTGGCGGAGCTGGGACGCGCTCGGGCCCGGCCGGAGCGGCAGGGAGGGCGGCTGGAGTGGAGCCGCGGCTCTCCGGCGGTGTGTCCCGGGGGAGGGCGGGGACCCCAGCAAGCCCCGGGCTCACGTGCTGCCCCGGGGGCTCGGGGGACAGCACGGGCGGCTCTGGTCAGCGCCGCCCCTCGCTGCTGTCCCGGGCCTGTCCTGCGCTTCGGCGGGGGCTGTTCCGCAGTCAGGAGCCCTGCAGAGCGACGGCGGTATTTTGCTTGGTTCAAGTCTGTGATGCATAGAGTGTTTTTCCCATCCACAGGGACGTTTTTCTAATATCACTTGTTTCAGGGCTGAGCTCGCCATTATTTAATGTTTATTCTTTCTGTACTGTTACAGAAAAATGGAAATTACCACTCCTCCGACGTCCAAGTGTATCATGTACTGGAAAAGGAAAGTCAAGTCCGAGTACATGCGTCTGCGGCAGCTCAAGAGGTTCCAGGCAAACATGGGAGCAAAGGTACAGCCACAGCAAGGACTGGGCTGAGATGCCCCAAAAAGGCTTCATTTCAGCTCAGAGTGTCTGAGCGGTGCCAGAGGGTGTCAGCAAGGTGAATTGATAAGCTGTGCTTGATTTGCAAGCTGGATCAATGGGAAGAGATGCCACTTCTCTGCTCTGTCTTGAGCTGTGTGGACAGCAGCTGTCACACACACGAGGCCATTCAACAAGCACTGGTGTAACTGCAGCAGTTATTTCCAGTTGGTTTTTACAGCATCTCCTTGCTGAACCTTTCAGTGCTGTGGGAGTTCTCAGTGGGTTTTCTTAAGTTTTGAGAGCTCCTTTCTCTCCTTTCAGGCTCTCTTTGTGGCCAACTTTGCAAAGGTTCATGAAAAGACTCAAATCCTTAATGAAGACTGGAAGAAGCTTCGGGTGCAGCCAGTGCAGCTGATGAAGCCAGTCAGTGGGCACCCGTTCCTGAAACAGGTGTGCAGAGGAAAAGGGGCAGCAAGTGGGGCCTGGAGCCAGGACTCTGCAGGGGGCTGTGGGGATATGGATGAGGTTTAGTCTGTGTTGTCCATGCCTCACACTTCTGGAATGCAGAAATGGACAAAAAGTACCCCCAAGGCTTTTTTCTGTGATGGAGTCCACTGAGTGGATGTGAGGCTTCTGTGTTTGTCCTGAATTCAGTTTTCCTCAGGCTGTGGCAGCCTCCCAGAGTGGTTCCTCACTGACCTTCTCTGTGCTTGTATTCCAGTGCACTGTTGAGAGCATTTTCCCAGGATTTTCAAGCCAGACACTGTACATGAGGACCCTGAACACAGTGGCACTGGTGCCCATTATGTACTCCTGGTCCCCTCTTCAGCAGAATTTCATGGTACGTGGGAAGCACGGGGTCTCAGTGAGGTCAGCATCTGATTGTTACACAGCTGGGAAGTGGTTCTTCATCCCACTTGTTTCAGGCAACATCTGCTTGACAGGTGATGAAGTGTTGCTTTAGTTGCTTGTTTTGTAGGATCGCAGCCAGCCTTGTGTCCACACTACCTCACCAGGTAGTCTCCTTTACATGTGGATTCTTGACAGAGTCACCATTGTTTCACAGAATTCAAGGAGTAAATACAGATCTTTTGGGGGGGTTTTGTTTGTTTATTTCCCTTTATATGAAGAATTTTATTTTTAGGCAGGTCCTTTTGTTTGTGACTGGGTTACAGTGGGATAGCACTGATGTGTCAGTGATGAGACATGTGAACCTTGGCTGTGCACCGTGTTGTTGGCAGGCCTGAGGGACCAGAGCAGCCTTGGGCACAGCCCCATTGGGGCAGCAAACACTGCTTTTCTGAATTGTGTCTGATCTCTCTTCAGGTGGAGGATGAAACAGTTCTGTGCAATATCCCTTACATGGGCGACGAGGTGAAGGAAGAAGATGAAACTTTCATTGAAGAACTTATTAATAACTATGATGGCAAAGTTCATGGAGAGGAAGGTAACCTGGGAGCAACCAGCTCTGTCCACTCCAGGCCAGCTTGGATGGGGCTTGGAGCAACCGGGTCTAGTGGCCTATCCATGGCAGGGGTGGAACAAGATGAGCTTTAAGATCCCTTCCAACTCAAACCTTCCTATGGTTCTGTGATTCAGTCTCTTGCAAATAACAAACCCAAGTAGTTCAGAAGTCAAAAGGTGGCAGCAGCAACCAGCTTTTCTGTGGGAGCTCTCAGAGCAGGGAAACAGGATGGTGCCTGCCTTCTCTGCAAGGGCACATTCCTGCCTTTGGGTACCTCACTCCATTGTAATGCCTGGAGTGCTCTGGAGCCAGTCCTCCTGTGTACAGAGATTCACAGGCATCCTCTGGGATGCTGAAAATGTGCTAGAGGGGGAGTAGCTCAGCAACCCTGTTCTGCTTGTTGCCTCAGCCAAGAGTTTAATCAATGAAAAGCGCTCCCTGCCCCACATAAAATTGCCCAGCGGGGAGGAAGACAGGGAAAACTGGTGTGGCCTGTCCCCACATTGCTGAAAATGATACACTACTACTGACTTTAGTGCTTAAATCCCACCTACCCCAAAAAAACCCAAGAGGGCTTTGGTGGGTAGCAGAGCACATAAGCTTGTGGTTTGCTATGACGAGAAATGAGAAAGATGGTGGCACTGCCACTTCTGTGTGTTTCAGAAATGATCTCAGGGTCAGTCCTCATCAGTGATGCTGTGTTCCTGGAGCTAGTGAATGCTCTGAATCAGTACTCGGACGAGGAAGAGGAAGGACACAATGATTCTGAGGTGAAACAGGAGGATGGAAAAGAGGAGCTGCCAGTGACAAGGAAAAGAAAGCGAATTGCAGTGGAAGGTGGGTTTGCCCCCAGAGAAGTGAAGATTGTGTTGGTCACATTTCTGTCCTGCCCTGCCTGAGCACTGGGCACCCCTCTCCTGCCATCACTGTGTTATAATGTGCCAAGAGTAGTTCCAGCTTGACAAGTTCTGTGGCAGAAGGGAAATGGTTTGTTTTCACTGTCCGCTGTGCACAGGGGAAGAAATCACGATCCAGAAGTGTGGTGAGGAGTTATTTAGATGAGTCATCTGTAAACCCACTTCCTGGTGAGATTAGCAGAGCTGGCTGTTATCTGAGAGACTATGGGATGTTTTCAAGTGCCAGTCTGGCAAACACCTGTCAGAGAGGTGGGGGTGAATCTGTTTCTGTGGGAGGCAGGGAGATGGATGTTTTCAAATCCCTTCCAGACCTGCTTTCCATGTATTAGTGTTCCTCTTCCCTCTCCTGTGCCACCTGGAGCTCCTGTTGCCTAGAGGAAGCTCTGGTTTGTGGGATTTTCTTGTGTCCTTGATGACCTTCTGAATGCTGATGGGTAATTTTATCTTTGTCCTTAATCTGTGGTGATGTGGGCAGCACAAACACCAACACTTCTGTGGATGTAGAAAAGCATTGTCTGCAAGTTCTGTCCTGGCAGAAACAAACAGTAATAGGGCTTAAATTGGTACTTCCAGCAGTACATTGTGCTGCACTGAAAGTGGCCTAGCACTGCTTCTGGGAATACCTCAGCCTGGTTGCAGGACACAGAGTTATCTGTTGTGCATGGGATTACATTTCTGTCTTAAAATACAATCCTGAGCATCTCTGGAATTACTCTGTGCAAGAAGGGAAGACCCATCCACATCAGCTTGGTTGAAGAATTATGTCTCCTCTTTTTTGTAGGTAACAAGAAGTGCTCAAAGAAGAGGTTCCCCAATGACATGATATTCACTGCTATTTCTTCCATGTTTCCTGAGTATGGCTTCCCAGAGGATATGAAAGAAAGGTAGAAAATCCCTGCACTGGTTGTCTGTTCCCTTTCTTAGCAAGAGTTGAAACCTTTATTTCAGAGACCAGCACTGTGGGCTGGCTGGGCCACAAAGCTCAGTGCCTGCAGGCTGTGAGCAGAGTGTGTATTGAGCGTTACAAACTGCAGTTTGGCCTTGAGGTACCTGCACCAGAGCCCAGTGGGCCCAGATGGTGCTGTAAAGCTTCACAAATGGGAAAAGCACATCCCCGGGTGTTTGTGTTTGTCAACAGGTACCGGGAGCTGACGGAGGTGTCAGACCCCAACGTGCTGCCGCCGCAGTGCACTCCCAACATCGACGGGCCGTGCGCCAAGTCGGTGCAGCGGGAGCAGTCCCTGCACTCCTTCCACACCCTCTTCTGCCGCCGCTGCTTCAAGTACGACTGCTTTCTGCATCGTAAGTGCCACCTCAGCCGGACGTTTCCCTAGAGCCCTTTCTCCTCAGTTTTCCTCTGCACGCCTTGCTTAGTCCGTGCTGGAGTCTCTGGAGGGTGGTGCCTCATGAGTTTGCAGTGGGGCCTTAGGAGCTGACAGGTGCCCAGAAGCCTTTTGTACAGACGGCTCCGCTCCTTGCTCCCACGGATGGCAGACCGACGTGCGTGGCCGTGGCCGTCCCCTCTCCGCGCTCAGCACGCCGCCTCCGAGCTCCTGACAGTTTGTGCAGTAGTCCTGCCACCACCAGACTTTGCTCTTGCTTTGCAGAAGCTCGTCAGTGAAAGGCATGAATGTTTCACTGCCAAAGTCTGGACATGCCCCTGTGTTTTGTTGCCTCCCTGGAACTTACAGCTTCGTCTTAGTCATGTTCCTGCCGTTGGTCCTGCCAAAGCCTTTTGGATACTGATTAGCTGCTGGACCTGCTGTTCTCCAGGTCTTAAGGGCTTCTTTGGGAAGTCACAGGACTTTTTCCAGTGAATTATTTATTAAAATATATAATATTAATATGATGTGGTCTTTTTGTTTCAGTGTGAAAGCTGATCCTTCTCCTTTGGCATCTCCTTCCCAAGCTGCCTTGTCCCCGTTGTGGGTTGGAGCAGGGTTACCCTGTGGGTCTGGTCGCCTCAGGCTCCACTGCCAGGGGAACCCTCAGGCACACAGGCTCCTGCTTCCTGTCCCTTGCAGAGTGGGGGGAGACTCTTGGAGAATGCTAATAGTAAAGATAACTGTTACTTTTTCAGCTTTTCATGCTACTCCTAATGTGTACAAACGAAAGAATAGAGAGACCAAGATTGAGCCAGATCCTTGCGGCGCAGACTGTTTCCTCTGGCTGGTATGTTTCTGTGTCACTGCTTTAGAAACCATGAGAGAAGTGCCCTGGCCAGCTCTGCTCTACAGAGCTCTGTGGATCTTTTTCACAACTTGGATGATCTTTTCAGAACTAATTCTGGTCCTTGTTGGATTCAGAGGAGCATGAATGCAAGTGCAGATCTTACCAGATGCATATTATAGCAGCTCTCCAATAAAGACTAATTCCAGAGCTGGCAAATGGGAAATTGTATGACAGATGATTTCTCTGGACTCAGTGCAGTGTTAGAGAAATTAAGCCTGTGCTAAAAAGGAGCAGAGCGCGAAGTCAGGAGGATCCAGAGGAGTGGGCTGGGGGTTCAGGCCAGGGAGCCTCTGCTGACTGGGCAGCAATGCCAAAGGGAACAAAGTGGGAACATGCAACACAAGCAGCTGGTTTGGCACCTGCTGAAGGGACCACACATGGTCAGCCTCTTCTACCTGCTCTTGGTGGTCGCAGGACAGGGCTTGTCCCTGGGCCTGTGGAAAAGCCTTCCTGCATTCCCTGGTCATCTGCCACCTGTCTTGTCTTCTGCTCTGCTTGCAGGAAGGAGCCAAGGAGTTTGCTGCACTGCACAACCCCCGATCCAAGTGCTCCGGCCGTCGCCGCCGGCGGCACCACGTGGTGGGCGCGTCCTGCTCCAGCACCCCGGCTGTCACTGAGACCAGGGAGGGCGACAGCGACCGGGACACGGGCAACGAGTGGGCCTCTAGCTCCTCGGGTATGGTGCCAGTCCTGAGACACCCCACTCCTCTCTGTGAGGGCAGGCGGCTCCTCGCAGCTGGAGTTCTCCCAGGCTCCCCTCTGCTTCCTGCACAGCTGGAGAATTTGGAGTTAGCAGTCAGTGTTCCCAGCAAACCTGAGGGACACCAGCCCTGCCCTTGCTGCTGTAGGATTCACTGTCCTCTCCCTGGAAGGAGGAATGTCGCCAGGCAAAGCAAGAGCTTTGCTGGGACCTGCAAAGCCCAGAGCGAGCCCTTGGCTCCTGAGCACTGTGCCTGGCCAGAAGCAGGAGTGTATGGCTGGGAGTGCAGTGCAGGGTTACAGGGCATGAGAGGGTGACCACTGCCCCCCAGAGCCATGATGGCCAGGGTGTGTTTGGCTTACCATCTGCCTTTCCTGCCAGAGGCCAACTCCCGCTGCCAAACCCCCACTAAGCAGAAGCTGAGCCCGGCCTCCTCCCAGCTGTTTGCGGTGGAGACGCCGCAGGAGCCCGTGGAGTGGACAGGAGCCGAGGAGTCACTCTTCCGTGTCTTCCATGGGACCTACTTCAACAACTTCTGCTCAATTGCCAGGCTGCTGGGGACAAAGACCTGCAAACAGGTGGGTGCCCAGAGCAGGCAACGCAGCCACAAGAGAGGGTCCAGGGCCAGAGCCACTGCCTGTTGGTTTTATTTCTCTGCCACAAACCTCCCCGAGGAAGGTGCCACATCAATGCCTTTGGAGCTCGGAGTGTTGCTCTGCAGCAGTGCTGCTGTTGGCAGAGTGAGCCCTGTGTGCTGGTATTGTGGGTTCCCTCCCATGTCACAGTGTCACAAATGAGTGTGTGAGCACTCATTTTCCAGGCAGGAGGAGGCAGTGTGCCATAGGCAGGAAAATGGGGCAGAGCTCCTGGTCTCTGGGCCCAGGCCTGAGAGCCTTGCTGTGCTTACTCATACTCTCCTTATGCTTTTGATAAAACAACTTGAGTGCACTGAACTTTTTTCTTCTTTTACTTGTGTTCTTCGGTAGGTCTTTCAGTTTGCAGTGAAGGAATCGCTTATAACAAAACTGCCAACAAATGAGTTAATGAATCCATCCCAGAAGAAGAAAAGGAAGCACAGGCAAGTGTTGGACAAGCTTGTTTTGTTCTTAAAATGCAACCAGATCCGCTGCTTTTTGTGCCAACGCATTCCTGGTAATCCCCATCTGGCTCCCATCTGTGTGCATGTCCTGCTGTCACATGTGGCTGCTGGTTCTGCTGCTGGGTGCTGGCCCTGGCCCAGCTCCAGGGCTGCTGCTCTGCCTGGGGGCTCAGTGGCCCTGCAGCTCCAGGCTCAGCTCGAGGAGAGGGCAGCACTGGCTGCTGGTCCTGGTGCCACTTCCCTAACAGCAGCCTCAGCCTCAGCTCCCTGACTTGTAACCCACTTTGTGTGTTGATCTCAGTTTGTCCAGTATTATTCTGGCTCTGTTGTTTGGCTTAAAGAGCTTCTGCTGCAGCTGCATCACTCTCATCTCTCTCCACTTTATGGTGGTGCTGATCATTAATGCATGAGTCTGCCAGGCCCATCTCTGCTGTGCTGGCTGCTGGTGCTGAGCAGCGCTGGCTGGCTCTCCCTGATGGCTTACACATCCCCTCAACCTTCTCTGCTCCTTTTGCAGGCTGTGGGCTGCACACTGCAGGAAGATCCAGCTGAAGAAAGGTAGAGTGGGCTGTGGCTTATCATGGGAGGTTTGCAAGGGTTGAGTTCTCCAGCAGGATGGCCATGTCCTGCTCACCAGCCTGGCAGGTCCAGCAGCGTGGAGGGAGTGACTGCCTCTGGCCAGGCTCCTTGGGGTGCCAGGGACATCATGGCCATCCCAGTGCCCACTGAGGCTGCATGTGCAGCAGGGTTTGCTGCAGCCAGGGGAGGCTGAGGGCAGTGTGCAGCCCTGCTGTGGACTGGGCAGTGGTCAGTGAGCACAGCCATGTGTGTGTCTGTGGGAGCTGGGTGCTGCCAGGCTCCCTGCCCAGTGCAGGCAGATGGGCAGCCTGCACCTTCTTGGCTCCAGTGCCCTGTACTTGCTGCTTTGAAAAGGTTCCTGCAACATTCAGCTTCCAATCTTGGCATTTCTCTTCTTGTTCTAGATAATTCACCAACCCAGGTGTACAACTACCAGCCCTGTGACCACCCCGAGCATCCCTGTGACAGCTCCTGCCCTTGCATCATGACTCAGAATTTCTGTGAGAAGTTCTGCCAGTGCAACCCTGACTGTAAGAAGAGGTCAAGGACTATTGGGCAGGAAAGCAGCCAGCTCTCCTAGCACAGAGCACAGGGAGGGTGCAGAGCTGGGGCTTGCTAGGTGCCTACTTTATTCCTGCACTTGCTGCTCTGTCCATCCACAGCAGTTCTGTTAGCAGCCTGTTAAAGTCCAAAGATAAATGGTTCTGTGCTGCCATGCAGCTGTTGGCAGCTGAGAGACATTCCTGTTAGTGCTCATCCCTGTGTCTGTGCCCTGTGGGTGCTGCTGCTGGTCCCCTGTGAGCAGGATGTGCCTCCAGCAATTAGGCTGGGCATTGGGTCACTGCTCTGCTATGTTTGTTTATCCTATCTGAGCTTCCATTCCCAGCTCTGCAGTGGAGAAAACAGCCAGACTTTATTCTGTCCCTGCTCAAGATCTGGCTGGGGAGGATGCATGGCCCCTCTGTTCTCTGCCAAACCTCACAGTGCAAACCCACGGTGTGTGTTGCTCCAGGTCAGAACCGCTTCCCAGGCTGCCGCTGCAAGACCCAGTGCAACACCAAGCAGTGCCCCTGCTACCTGGCTGTGCGGGAGTGTGACCCAGACCTCTGCCTCACCTGTGGTGCTTCAGAGCACTGGGACTGCAAGGTGGTGTCCTGCAAGAACTGCAGCATCCAGCGAGGCCTCAAAAAGGTATTGGCAGCAGTGTGGCAGGGGCTGCCTCAGGGCAGAGCTGACACACTGCTGCTGTTGCTGCTGTGTGTGGAGGGGCAGCAGCTTCCCTGGAGCTGCCAGAGTGAGGGTCTGGAAAAGAAGTTGCTCTGCTCTAGGCCTCTGCAGCACTTATCTGGAGTAGGGATTGTAGATGTGAAAATCAGGGGAATTGTGGAATGGGAAAATCGGGAGATGGGAGTTACAAGAGGAATGGTAAAAGCAAGAGTGTATAAAGTGGCTCCAGAGAAAGATTTAGTCTTGAATTCTGCTGGTCAGAGCAAGGAATTGAGCATTAAAAAAAAAGGGAAATTCAGAGAAAGTTGCAAATTTGTGTGTGTCAGGTCCTGTGCAGCTCCATGTAATGGTGTAGGGAGCTGTGTGTCACCATTACAAGGGGATGCTGGATGGACACTGGCTCCCTGCTGCCCCCATGACCTGTGTACTTTGAGGTGCTGTACCTGCCAACTCTCCCCATTTCCTCTCATTTTGGTTCCAGCATTTGTTGCTGGCCCCATCAGACGTGGCTGGCTGGGGGACTTTCATCAAGGAGGCTGTGCAGAAGAACGAGTTCATCTCCGAGTACTGCGGGGAGGTCAGTGCTGTGCCTGTGCTGCTGGCCAGGCACATGGGGGCTGTGTGTGATGGGAGAGCTTCCTGTGGCTGCAGGGTCAGCTGCCTTCCTTGGCTCAGCTGTGCCCATGGGCTCGCTCTGACCAGGTCTGGAGATGGAGCCCTGTGCTGTCTGGGGACACATCTTAGTACCTCTCGCCCTCCACTGTGGAGGAGAGTGTTGTGTGTGTGCTGCTGCCTGAGAGCTCTGCTCTGGCCCTGCCCCATCCCTGGGAGCCCTGGCAAGCTCCTGAGGTGGGAGGGAGAGCAGGAGGGTGTTTCCAGGAGGCAGCCCTGGAACCTGGCTCAGCTCTCAGCTGCTGAGTCTCTCAAGGTGATCTCCCTCTACAGCTCATTTCACAGGATGAGGCTGACAGGCGAGGAAAGGTCTACGACAAGTACATGTCCAGCTTCCTCTTCAACCTCAACAATGGTAACTTCCTGAGGTTTCCAGGGGTGGAGAGACCAGGTGGGCATGCTCAGCCCACCTCTTGCCTGGGTGACAGGCCTGGCCTTACACCATGTTTTCCTTATCTTTTTTTTTAATAGATTTTGTTGTTGACGCTACTCGCAAAGGAAATAAAATCCGCTTTGCCAACCACTCGGTGAACCCCAACTGCTATGCGAAAGGTGAGGTCCCCCTGCCCAGCCAGGCCAGGCAGGACATGGTGCTCTGAGAGCTCCAGCCCAAGCTGGGGCTGCACATCTCTGATGTTGCATCTCTGATGTTGCATCTCTGGTTGCAGTTGTGATGGTGAACGGAGACCACCGCATTGGCATCTTCGCCAAGAGAGCCATCCAGGCAGGAGAGGAGCTCTTCTTTGACTACAGGTACCTTGGCCAGTGGGCACCTTGCACCCACCCTCTGTGCAGGTTTGTGGGGGGAGCATTGCTGCAGCCATGACTTCCTGTCCTGTAGGTACAGCCAGGCAGATGCCCTGAAGTATGTCGGCATAGAGAGGGAGACGGACATCATCTGAGCTCCGGGGTGGTTCTGGCACACCTTGCTGCTGCACCTTGTAAGCAATGCCATGTTTGCTTCACGCTGACATGACTGCTGCTGTTCCTGCTGCTGTGTGTGTCACAAGTGCTACTTTCCATCCAGACACCAGAGAGACTTGGGGCAGGAGTGTAAGCAGCCCCTGGGCCATGGCTGTCCCAGGGTGATATCCCCTCTGCCCCAGCTGGCTGGGAAATGGGGACTGCCCAGCTGTGGCTGGAGTGGCACCAAGGGATGCCTGGGGATGGGAGAGCAGCACTATGCAACATGATACTTTGAGTAGGGGTGCCACTGAGCTGGGTAGAGGATGATGTTACAGTCACTGCCTGTTGTGACCCAGGGGAGGTTTCTCAGAAACCTTCCTTGGGCTTTGTGATCCCCTGGCCCTGGGAGTAAAGGGGAAATATTCTCTGGCAAGGTGAGGTTTAGCCTTGCACTCCATGCAAAAAAGAAAGAAAAAAGCACTTTAAACTAATCCTCAGCTGGTGGCTGGGCCCTGTATTTTGGGGTGGAGGGACTGCAGGCATCCCAGGTGTCCTGTCTCTTGTCAGCACCTCTGCTGGGATGTTGCTCCAGGCCTGGGACAGGGCAGGCTGGATGGGGCCTGGGGTGACCTGAAGGTTGGGGCTGTCCCCTGAGAGCCATATACGCCACCAGCCTCCTGCCTGGCCTGGTGCTGGGTGCTGGGCTGTGCTCCCAATGTCCAGGGCTGGCTTCCCAGGATGACATGGGGAGCCTGACTGAGCCCTGACCTGGCTCCAGGACCCCAGCCCACTCCCAGCTGTTTAGTCCAGGAACACACAGAGGTGCTGGGTTTGCCTGGGAGCCAAGCCCTCCCTGGCCCAGCCCTCACCATACTTTCCCAGTTCCCTGCCACGGCAGGCCAGGCTCTCTGTTCTTCCCGTTGTCCGTGATGGCCCCCTGGAGCACGGAGGTGTTTAGGTCTGTCTGGAGCAGTGCTTCTATCCCAGCACCTGCCTGAGCCTTGCTCCCTGCCACCTCCATCCACCCAGCTCCTGCCAGCCCTGCTCTTGCCTAAGCGTCTTCTGCCACTTTGGCCATATCTGCACTATGCCAGGCTTGTGTCTGTGGTTTGTTGACGGTGAATAATGATAATAATAATGCACTTTAAATAACATGGCTTGTAGCCTTTGTCATAATAAAGTGGTAGCAAAGACCCTCCCCTGCTCCTGGCCTCTGTTACCCAGGGCAGCAGCCTGTCCCCAGACTGTCCCCTGCCTGCTGGGCTCAGCCTGGCTGTCCCCAGCGTGGCTCCCAGGGTTCAGAGGGGACAGAGTGACCCAGTGCTTCCAGCTGCCTGAATCACACTGGCTCAGGGTGGGAAGGGGGCAGAGATGATGGTGGGGAGAGCAGGACATGATGTGTGTGTGCAGCAGCAGCTGAGCTGCCTCTAGCCCCGGCTCACTACACCCTGCATCTGGCACTGGGACCAGGAATTGCTCTTGTCAATGTGGTGCCTCCCTTCGTGCAGGCTGAGCCGGGGTGGGAGGAGAGGATCTGCCCAGGCTGCCAAGGTGAAGGCTAGGGAGCGTCAAATGCCATCATTCTGCCTTTATTTGATTATCTTCACATCTCATTCAAAAGAACAGACTTTTTAAAAATAAAGTGCCCAGTGGAGCCAGGCCTTTGGGTAGATAAATGCATATCTGTAACATTGTCTTACCACAACACAGCAAGTGAACAGGAGCTTTCCCTGGGCTGGAGGTAATTGGCAGGACTGGCACTTCGTACAGAGAAGTAGCAAACTACAGACCACGTACCACGACACGCGGGCCCTCACGCCCGCGGGAGCTTCCGTTTGGTTTTTTATACAAACCCATAGAATAAAAAAACCAGAGTGTAGTAGAATATCCAGCAACAAAAATGGTAGAAAGGATCTGTACCTGATCTTATGAAAGCAGCATCTCAGCAAGGTGCGGTGGCGGCATGCGCGGCGCCGGTGTGTGGAGTATTGCTTGGCAGCCCGGCCGAGCGGGGCCGGTGCTCGTGGCTCTGCGCGGTGCTGGCGAAGCGAGCAAAGCAGCGGGGCATCTACGCGGGCAGCACTAACGGGCGGCAGCAGCCGGGTGCCCCCGGCCACAGGGAGGGTGGGCACCGAGCCTGGGGCTCCCCGACAGAGGCCAGGCAGGATTTGGCAGCTGTAGATGCAGCAGCCTGCCTCTGGCATGGGAGCTGTCGGCGTAACCGGGGCGAGCGAGGCTGGGGCTCGGCGGATCGTGGCCGCACTCCGGGGCCGGTCGATGGCGGCCGTGGGGAGGAGGTGGCGGTCGGTCCGCTCCGGTCCGGTCAGTCTGAAGGCGGGTGTTGGCAGTTCAGGTGTGCTCGGCCTTTTGGTCCCGCGACGCTCGCTCATTCCCGGGCGGCTCCCGGGGATGCGGGGGCTGTGAGCCCGTCCCACCCCCGGCCCCGCTAGTCCCCTCTCGGCTCCTCCAGGATCTGGGGGAGGTTCTGTTCCTTGCGTGCCGATGGCGGTTTGGCAGCACCGCCGTAATCCTGGATGGCCTTGGGCTCGTTGGTGTGGTAAGAGCCCTTGTAGCGGTGGTGGTAGAAGTAGAGCAGCACCAGCAGCCCTGACAGCAGCAGGAGCAGGAAGATCACGACTGCGGGGAAGAGACGGCAGTGAGGGGTTGGGGAGGGGCCGCAGGGCTGTGCCAGTGTGGAATACCAGCCAGAGGCTTCACTTACACCCAATGATGATCCCAATCCAGCCGTCATCGTGTACGTGAGGGAACTCTGCAGAGACAGAGCAGGCAGCTGAGACCAGGCTGCAGCAAGGTCTCACGCTGGAGCTTCCCATCTGCAGCTGGTGCTTGACGAGGGCTCCATCCCCAGCAGGGTCCCACCACAGCACCCACCTGTGGCCATGTACCAGGGGTCCATCTCAGGAGGGATAAGGATGGTGCTGAGGGGGAGCATCGAGGCACAGCTCGACTCCACCAGTTCCCCCCGGATGCTGTAGGGCCGCAGGGGACTGGTGGGGTGGAAGATGGCTTTGAGGGGCACGAGGGTGTTGAATTTCACCCCTGAGAGGCAGCCTGAGAAGCCAGGTGTGTTGTAGCGCTGGATCTCAGGGTCAATCACACCAGTCTCTGTGGGGCCACAGAAGGAGATTATTCATCCCTCTCAGAGGGCAAGGGCCATGCTGTGCAGAGGAGACCCCAGAGACCCCAACATGGGCAGGACCCAGCTCACCCATCACACGACCCAGGTACAGGTTTTTGGGTGAATCCAGCTTGCTGTCCACAAACAGGGAAAACTGCTGCTCCATGATGGGGAGATAGTCCACCTGGGAGGCAGGTGCACAGCATCAGTGCCCACAGAGCCCACCCTGCCCATGCCCCCTCCCAGCCTGACCTGAAGCCCCCAGGCCCAACTGGGAGGGTGCCCCAGCCCAAACCTGGGTGTAGAGTGTGCGGTGCAAGCGGGTGATGTTGACGCGGTGGGGCCGCCCGTCCGTCACTGGCTTGTTGGTGAGAGTGAAGACGTAGGGGCTGGTGCCCAGCTGGTAGCGCAGCTGTAGGCTCCCTGTGGGCAGCACAGGGCTGTCAGCAGGGCTGCACCTCTCAGTGGGCATGTCCAGCCCATCTATAGGCTTGGAAAGTGGCATCCACAGGGCAGGGGGCCTTGCCCTCACCATCATCCTTGATGAGCACGGCCATATAGTCCTTGACAAAGGTGCTGACGTAGAGCAGCACGGCAGGTGCTGAGGTGGTGCTGAAGCTGAAGCTGACCTCCTCGCTGGTGAGGTTATAGCCAGGCAGGGGCTGCCAGGGGCTGCTCACAATGCTGGCGAACTCACGGGCGGCGTACAGCGACATGGGCAGGATGTTGTACCGCACCCAGGTGCCCTCCTCGAAGTACCCTCCGATGTCTGTGGGAGAGCCTAGGGGGTGAGGGGAGCGCCGGCTCCTCGGCCCCACCCAGCCCGCGGAGCGCTGCCACTCACCGTGGTTGCAGAAGGGCCCGGTGAAGGCGGAGATGCTGCAGTTGCAGGTGTAGTGGCTGTAGCGCTCCACGCAGAGCCCGCTGTTCTGGCAGGGCACCGGCGGGTCCTGGCAGTAGCCGGTGCAGTTGACCCGCACGCCTTCCGTCTCATTGGCTTTGCCCTCCAGGTTGAGCGTCACCCCGTTCATCCGCAGTGCCCGCAGGCAGCCCAGGAACGGGCGCATCTTGTGCTCTGCCGCGCCTGCAGCGGGGCCGAGACTGAGTGCCCTGTGGCACGTGGGGACCTGGGGGTGCAGGGACGTGGCCAGGGGCTCTCACCGACGTAGAGGGGCCTGTCAAATTCCAGGCGGACGAAGCTCTGTGGGGGGAATGGCCGCACCACCCAGGGCAGCTTGTCCACCCGCAGCCGTGCCAGCTTGACGTTGAGCTCAGCCTTCACCTGGTGCCACTCATCGTCGTTCCAGGGTACCACCGACCGCACCGTCACGTTCTCGTCCCCGTTCCCAATGTCAAATATAAATGCCACGTCCCTAGTGGCTGCAAGGACATGATGCTGAGAAGAGACCCCAGCCCTTCTGCCCCCAACAGCCCTGCCCCCCCTGCACCCCCGTACTGTTGAGCTCAATGCGGATGTAGTTTCTATAGCCTGGGTTCTCCAGGAAGACTCCAGACTGGGCAGTGGTCTTGAAGTAGAAGGAAATGTCAAGGCTGTGGTTGGCCTGGAAGGTGGGGAAGATCAGGGCTGCGCCCCTGTTGAAGGAGACGGTGTTCCAGGTGTTGCCTGTGAGGAACAGGAGGGGCAGTGAGGGATGGTCAGGGTCCTTCATGTGGGACAGCACAGGCAGGTGCAGGCACTCTGCAGGCAGGGGATGTTCCGTGGGGCTGCTCACTTACGGTCTCCATAGCACCGTAGGGGCCCCAGCACGAACTGGGCTTCAGAGCCAGTGCGGTTGGTGTCTCCAATTACAACCTGGGTGACTGGCAGGTGGTCCACAAAGGTCAGCAGACCCTTGTCTGTCCTCCTGCAAATGTGAGTGCGTCAGAGGGGCCACGAGGTGTTTCTGTCCCTTCACCAACCCACAGCCCCGTTACCCC